TTTTGAGCAAAGATAAAGAAGCATACAATAGTGTTATAGGTTCCAGCACAAGGATTTAATATTTTAAATGTTGAAAATTTGTTTGAGATGCTTGTTTAGGACTGCCGTGTATTCTGAAGTATAATTTAGTAGACTTCTTAAATGTTTAAAATAATGGGAAACTTCTAAGATTAATGAAGAAACATAAATTATTGTGACCCTCATTTTTAACAGTTTGTGGAATTTCCATGTTTTTCAATGAAGTCTGTTGGAATTAAGTAGTCAGCTTTAATTTTACTTGTGAATTGAAAACATGATTTCTCTAAATTGCTTTTATAGACTCCCTTCATAGTATCCAATAATCTACCTCCAGATACTAAGCTACACCTTTGAGCCAGTTAAGTGAGATGTGTATTTGTCCCCATTCACAGTGGCAGCTGTCCCTATTGTACCCAACTTCTTCCTGCCTCAGGCTGTCTCTGCAGTTTTGGTTTAAACTCTACCCATTTTCAGCAAACACCATCTTCCTCACCTCCTTTTTTTCCCCATTTTACTCCTATAAAGTGTCCTTTGCTGTTGCTGGGAGAAAACTGTTATTTCTGTGCCTTCGCAGTTAACTCTCTAGCTGAGAGCAGTAGGTTGGAATAATTTTTTACATAATAAATGTAACAGCCTGGGGCACCTACTCTGCATAATCTATTACTAAGCACTATTAAAGGAGAGATCTTTCCAGATACTATGTAGCAGAAAAGGATTTGCTTTATTTCATTTTCTACAGCTACAGAATTATTTTTCTCGCTGAAACCAGTCTGTCATAATAGGTCATGGTTCAGAAAGAAAAATTCCTATTACAAGTCCCGTAGTCATAAATGCATTGTGGTTTGGGATTATCAGAAGCATGAACTGGAGAGTTATGGAGCACTGAGATGAGGAGCTGTTTGTAGTAACACATTGGAATTCTGCTGTTTCCTTGAAAGAGCAAGTGTGTTTTTTAAATCTGCAGTTTGTAAAGATTGAGGGTTTATTTCAGTTTCCTGAATTTTTGCAAAATATTTTCTTGCTAAACAGAAGCATCCTCTTTGTAAGAGATCAGCTGGTTTATTTTAATGTGTCTGATAAGGTTTGTCTGTTTTACAAAGTGGTATTTAAAGGTGATATTACTACCAGTTGTGCATAATTTCCTCTGTAAAGATCTATTTCCTACTTGTCAGACTGGGATATAACAACTGAAGCTAGTCAAAAGTATAACTGAAATGCAAGATTCAAACAATTTCTATGTTGTTTTTTTTTTTTCTTTTGTTTTTCTGGGGGCTCCTCATCAATATTAACATAGAGTTAATTTCTGTTTTTCACTCCTATTTATGCTACATAAAACAAACATTAGGGAAGAAGATTATAAAATATTGGCTTATTACCATTGGTGTGGTGTACCTGGAACAGAAGAAACAAAGCAGTCATTTTTGTGAAATAATTCTGTATCTATGCTTTCCTAATATTTAATTTAAAAAAATGAAATTTGTTGCCCCGAATGATGAAAGAAACTTTTTTAATGGTAGTTGCAAGAGATTCTGCTACCTTAAAAATACTGAGATACTGTTACCAGCCTCAAATTAACAGAAATAAGTAGTAGTGATATACTTATTTGGTTTAAAAAGTATCTAAACTGGTGTATCCACATAAATTCCTAACCTTCAGGAGCAAGCAATTGACCGAGAGCATGAGAGAGATGTATTCCAGCAAGAGATACAGAAGCTGGAACAGCAGCTTAAGGTTCCACAAAGGAGTCAGCCTGTCAATGAACATCAGACCAGAGAGGTAACAGAGTTTATTATTTGTACTCAGTGGATATAAATGACAAGTTGACAGCTGCTAAGATATTGTAATGAACCTGTTTCATGGTCTACCTTGTCTGCATCCATTTACAAGCTAGGAAAGTAAATCCCCTTAGATGAAGGGTAAGCTGTTGGGGGAATGTGGTGAAACCCTGTTCTGGGGTTTTTTTTAGGCTGGTTGGTTGGTTTTAGGAGTAGACCTACAGAGACTTTGTAACTATCAAAACGGCTCTTTCATTTAACTTAATTTAGAAAATCTGCTGTTTTCAAAAGCCTGTAGAAACATTCAGGACTACTTTAGCAATTTCACATGTTTTGTGACATCTTGTTTATAGCACAGGTGCACAGCTGAAGGAATTCAGTTACCGAGGTTTAGCACCTCAGATGTAGTAGTACTTTCTCTACACTTGAAACAAACTTAGTGTCTGTAGAACAGCAGCTCAAGGGAATCAGAAAACTCGTAGACCCAGCAAAATCAAGATGAGTGGCAGCAGTGCAATGGTATATATTATGAAGCTTTTGCATGTTTTATTTCATGACCTGTTAGTCAATTAAATGGCATTTTATTTTTTGTGGGTTGTGTCCTGCTTTTTGAGCAAGGCCGATATTTTTGCATGATTTTCTTGCCTGGTTTTCAGCAGTAAAATGCTTCTTACTAGGTTGCACTGCATTTTCAAATGAAAGTTCTCACTGAGGTAGTTCAGTTGCTGGAATTCAAGTCTTAAATATTGGCAGTATTTAGTATTCTACATTATATGGTTTAGGACGACAGGCAGTAATAGGTCATAAATTAATATGACAGATGTAAGTTGTCAAGATATGTATTTACTTATAATTCCCAAATTTAGATGTGTATTTCATGGAGGTTTTTTATATATTTTAATACAATGGTTTGTGAGAAATCTTACAAAGTATTCAATAGTCTGTGAACAATGAATCTTCAGGAATTAGCTGTCTGGAAACCAACACATATCAAGCAATGCAGCAGCTATTTCCTTCTATTGCAAAGTGTACACAAACTCCACTCCTGTTGACACGTTCCACAGATGGGGGAGACTTTTTAACACTAAAGTTTTCCCTGATCCAGGGTATTTGTTTTGAGTTCATTCCTTTATGTGGCTGTGTATAACTTGGGGCATGGGTAGCATGTGAATTCCTGGTTACAATTCTCACGTTTAAAAAAAAAAAAACAAAAACAAAACTCCTAGGAAAAAACTTTCAAATTTGATGGCATAATAAAAATTGCCCTATTTTTCTGTACAGAATTTGTATATAAAATTTGTCTAAATTTATATGCACATGTACACGTATCTGTATACTGAGTAAGTTGGCAGGTATGCCACAATGGAAACTTAAAGCATGCTTTAAAATGAAAGACAGCTGTAGCTGTGATTAAAATCTTGAGATTTGTATTAGATGCTTTTAAATTAGAATACTTTATTAGGTAGAAAGCTAGCCAATAAGGTAGTGTCTGCAGGCACCACAGGTGTAGCAGCTATTTTGGAGCTGGGTGGTGTTGAATGTGATACATTACAGATTACAGACAGAATTTTCAATAGTGTATTAGATTTACAATTTTTATTGAATGAGGCACATAATCTTATGATGTATTATATTTTGATGTCACAGTGTTACCTGGAATGTTTCATGAATATACACTTTATCATTATTTCTCATACTTTTTCTGAGCTAGCTGCTTTATTTTTCATAGTTGCATGGTTTTTGAAAAGCTCTCCTGCTTTGTGTGAATGCTTCGAGCATTTTCTGCTGATAATTTCTATTTTACAGTTGTTTCAGCTTACTCTATCAACTTATTCCAGGGAGGGTTGTCACCAAGAGTCTGCTCTAGACTTGATTTTTCTTTTTCCATTTCTCTCTCAGGACTTTTCTGTGGTCACTTCAGACTTTGATGTTACTCATGGATGGATAACGTCAATAATACCATCCTGTCAGCTTTATGTTCTGGTCCTCTTCTCTCCTATCTATTGAAATGCTTTGAGTCTTCCACCTTTTGGCTACATCGTAACTTCCTAATTGTAAATACTGAAATCAGTTTCTTGAGTGGGCCAAACATTACTTTCCGTGTCTCTTGCTTGATTGCTTAGTTTAATTCAGGTCTTAACTCTGCAACAGGCCTAATGCCATGGATTTGTTACTCATCTTTATCTGTAGATTTGATTAATCATTTCTGAAATACTGCTACAGCTCCAGTTACTCTTCTAGTATGTTGTTTCTGAGCCACAAACATCTGAAGTACTGAGATTAAGAATGCTTTATTTGAATGCTTTATCCCCTATAGAAAGTGAAATTGTATCATCCATCACATCTATTTGGTCCTGTTTAACAATCCCAGCAGGAAAACAAAACTTCCTGTTTGTCGAGATTGAAGTATACTAATTTTCTTCCCTGTTAAAGACTCAGTGAGTTTTAGGATATGTCTGTATGTCACTAATCAACTCCTTATTTTGAATAATTTTTCCCAGATTTATAGAACTAGGACATTCCTCAAAGATGCAAATAGCATCTTGACCTTGGCATCAAGACGTTCCATCTGTAGATGCTGAAGGTATCTAGTTGCATAGGGACACCATCCCACTTGCTTTTAACTGACTTAGAGAGTCTGAAGGCTCCAGGACAAGGTCCGTTCTAGAGAGCAGGTGATACAGCACAGAACCTATCACTTCTAAAAAATGCTGCTTGTATTTGTTGGATGTAGCACTACACTACCCTCACTTTACATTCTGTTTCCCCTAAAGAGTAGGAGTTTTGTTACAAGAAGGAGGCGTGTGTTTTCTGTCAAAAATGAGTACTGTTGCTCTTGCTAGCAAACCCTTCCAATCTAGTAGGATTGGAATTTATTAATCTTCTTACCATATTGTCACCAGGTGGAACAGTTAACAAACCATCTGAAAGAAAAAACAGACAAATGCAGTGAGCTTTTGCTCTCTAAGGAGCAACTTCAGAGAGATATACAAGAAAGAAATGAAGAAATTGAGAAACTGGAGTGCAGGATAAGAGAACTGGAACAAGCCTTAATTATCAGTGCAGACAATTTGCAAAAGGTATTGCTTCATCTAAAATTATCATGTATTTACTACTTCCTTATTTTCTTGAGAACAAAACAGTGTATCTTTTTTATTTATTTATTATTCAGTTAATAAGGTAACTAATGTGTATTTAAAGGTGGAGGAAAGGAAGCAGTTTGGCACCATCATAGTAAAGGGAGAATTACCTCTTGAAGTACAGCTGCAAGCTGAGCGAGAAGCTGTGGACAGGAAGGAAAAGGAGGTAAAACACCTGTGAAATGTTCCTTTTTTCCACTGATATTTTTTTTTATCAGTTTTTACTTTGAGTTTCGTGAGCAGAGATGACATCAGATCAGGGAGACAGAAATCCAAATCCCTTTGAAAATTCTCTTGTGAGCCATAATAATGGTTGTAATTGTCTATGTTAATGCTTATGACTTACAAGAGTGTTTCTGGAATCCAAATTCAGCCCAATTAAGATAAACTTTATGGTGAGTTCAGCTGATTTTTAGTGGGCTTTAAAATTCCATTCAGCTTAAGGACTCAGGATGTCACTGAGTATATGTTCATTCATTTGTGCATAACAAACAAGTTTACTGTAGACATTGCACTTGAACATTATAATATTTAACTTTTGGTGTGGCTGATTACACCTTTTCCACCATTTGTTTTGGAAACATAGGTCACAAATCTTGAGGAACAACTGGAGCAGTTTCGAGAGGAGCTAGAAAATAAAAATGAAGAAGTGCAGCAGTTGCACATGCAACTGGAAATTCAGCGAAAGGAGTCCACTACACACTTGCAAGAACTTCAACAAGAGAACAAATTATTTAAGGTAATTGTGTAACAGAGAAGTCTTGAGCTTTATTCTTCTTCCTCGTTAGAAATAAATTCTTGGAAAAAACCAAGATGTCACATTCTTTCTCAAGGATTCCACCACTCCACTTGCAAAATACTAAAAAGCTCATGTAATTACTTCTCATTCCATGCAATTTGTTTATTTTAATTCCTATGCCTTAAATACTCCTACAAGAATATGCAGAAAATATTATGTACAACTGTAACATGGGTTTGGGGTTTTTTTTTGTTTGGTAGGATGAAATGGAAATACTGGGACTAGCTATCCAGAAATCTGAAGATGCCACCATAAAGGACCATCACGTACTGGCTGGGAGGCTCACTCGCATCATGCAAGAAAAGGAGCAGGAAATAGATCATCTTCATGAAGAAATTGCAAAACTGCAACAGCAACTTGAAGTCACAACTGACAACAAAGTACATACTTTCGAAATCTTTGACAGTGTCCTACTTTGTGTTGCTAGATGTTTAAAGAAAAACAAACTCAAAAACCTCTGTCCTCCCACCATTTGCATTCTCTTCTATTCCTGCCTTAACTTAAAAGTGCAAATGCATCAGTTTCAAGCAGCGCTTTAGCACTAATCTGTTTTTTCCTTTTTCTCTCGATTTTTATGAAGGATACTTTTTGCTTGTTCTTTTTTTAATATTCTGCCTTATTTCTACTTGAGTTTCTGTCTTAAATTCTTCTTCATTCCTCATTCTTCTAATACTTCTGAACACTTAATAGTATATAGGTAGCTGAATTCAACCTCGACATTCATTCTACCATCTTCCCTACCAAGACTTACTTCCAGTGTTGTATTTCAGTGACACCTGCTGCTTCATGCTGGATTTTATAGGGTGTTTTGCAGTTGAACTTCTGTGCTCCATGAGCTTGTGTAAATACTTTGTCATCATACCAGTGTTGGCAACCTTTTTAATCCAGCTTGAAGGATGGTGAATGAGCAAAAAAAGCTGTATTTTACTAGAAATGGAGAACAAGAAAGAAAGAAAGAAGGAAGCAGATTTATCTTTCTTTTTTATTTACTGAGATTTAACACCTGTAGCTTTCTGTTATTTTCCAATTATGTGTTTTTATGATAATAAGCTTAATCATTCTCTGGCTTATTTCTGTTTGATTCTAATCTAACACATTGATTTCAACAAAAATACTAGTTATTTTGCATTGATGTCAGTGACAGCAGAAACAGGCTTTCAGTCTCACATTTTTTTATGGAAAGAAAACTGGATTTTTTCAGTGGGCGAATTCTGCGTTCTGGCCATTTTAAATGTGAAAATGTATTGGTCATAAGCTTTAACCTCAAAGCAAGTATTATTCAGTAAGGTAAGAACAGGAGTTCTGCTACTGCTCAGTCGTTGATTGAACATTTGGGATCGTGTTCTACTGGAGGTACTGAACCCACCAGAACAGAGCTCTGACCAAGCTGGATAATTTCACTGAGTTTTTATGTGCAAAATTCAGTTATATTGAACCTCAGTGAATAATGACAAAACTTTGAATTGGATTTAGGAAAAATGATACTTCAGGAATCCAGAATGGTTCTGCTTCATACAAAGACTGCAGTAATACGGTTACATTACTTGCCTTGAGAAAATACCCAGGGTTCAGGTTTAATTAATTTTAATGATTGGTTCTTCACCTGTTTTATGAAGTTTCATTTTGTTAATTTCACCTTCTTACTAGTTGTGGTGGGGTTTGTTTTTTTTTTTTTCCTCCAGGACATTAAATAATTAGTCTGCTTGATTATGACAGCAGCATTAAATATGAATAGATTGTTCTTAGGTTAATCCCTTTCCTAGTCCATGAGACATCTTCATCCTACTAAGTGCTTTTCTTTTAATTGCTGCATTTGCCTTCTGTGGTCCTTTATTCCATTATGTTATGAAGAACAGAAACTGTTATGCTGACTTGATAGCAATCACCAGGATCGCTGCTCTTTTTTCTTCTGAAAACTAATGACTTGTTCACATTTCATTTAGTGTTTCTGAGCTGCTTCTAGTCTCTGGATTTTTAAAGAGAAATTCTTGGTTGGCAAATCAGCCACTCTAATTTATGTGCTCACCTTTATAATTTATTTTTGTACATATTATACTTACTACAAAGACATCTTATTTTATTTAACTACCTAAACCTAATGAAGTATTGAGAGATAAAGGAAAAAGCATGGCTATTCTTCTCTTCTACATCTTTTTTTTTTTTTTTTGTACATACTTATAGAAGGCCCTTTTAGAGTTCACCTGTTTTAGGTACCATAACTGATTTTATTTTATAATATCTCTTTCCAGATATTCTTGACAGATTTCCTTCTGCCTTTTTAATTTTCAATGTAGAAGCTCTGTTCATTTCAGATCTCCAGACATTCTCTTAAGAAAATATATCAATTTGTTTCTTAGACTTGGTACTTATAATCTGGTCTGTCTTTATTTTGACTTTGTAAAGGGGTTTTTTGTCATTCTACACTCAATTGAGAATTTGCTCCCACTGCAATTTAGGAAGGAGTTTTTTTAAATGAATTTTATAAAACTTATTCTATTGGAATCTGATATTTTGTCTTACTATTCCTTTTGCTAAGACTTTATTTATTAAACTTAGTGCTCGTCAACATCAGTCATTCCATTTTTTGTGTCTACTCCTTTATTTCTTGTTAGAAGCTGAGTTAAGATGGCTTCTCTTTTCTGCATTGTAACATCATCACCCTCACATTTGCTCAGCTACATCATGTTATGAATTTCTTGGAAATTTGAGTCCCTTACACAGCCTGTAATTTTAACTGTCTTTAGAACTAATCTTAGAAGTGTTTTTGTCACTCTCTTCATGTCTTCACCAATCTGTCTTTGAAATTTGTTTGGGTAGTCATATACATTTTAAATGTATATATAACTTTCTTGCTTTACTTTCATTTAAACTACAGCACAGTGAAGTAATTGTGCACTGGGTCTGAAGGTACTATTTTCCCTGCTTGTGTTTGTGCACATCTGCAAAGGTGTGTGCACTCACACATAAACAGACAAACACATCTTTAGGTTTGTGATAGGAAATGTCAGAGCCCACTAATAGGTGTTTTCTGTGATCTCAGGCTAAAAATCATGTTATAATGGTGTTTTTCAGTACAATTGATCAGAGGTCTATTTGTATTTAAAATACATATCCGTCTTAATTTGCTGTGTCCTATATAAATCTATTTGGCCATATGACTGAGTTACTTTTGCATGAAGAGCACAGAGCAGAGTATCTGTGTAATCTAACTAAACATATCTGGCCTGCATTTGGTAAGCTTGAGGGTTTTTGGTTTTGTTTTGTTTGGTTTTTTTAAAGGAAGTTCTTTACATAAAGTAATGTGGGAAAATTTATCTGTAAATTCTGAGTTTCATAGATCTTGGTTCTTTGGAATTCCTTGAGTACAAATAGTATATTGAACATTGATTTCATAAGAAGATTAAGCAGCAGACATGACCACTTGTTTCTGTTTGAATTCTCAATAAAAAGTGCAAGACACAGCTTTCGACCAAAGTACTATGCACACTTAAACTTCAGTGTTTCATATCCCTGTGAATATTACAAATGATTTCACTTTGATGCTTTCACACCTATTTTGCAGTTCATTAAGGTCACAGGCTACTTTGTCAGTCCCGTGTAAAGATGCTCTGATTATCACAAAGTTTACAAGAGACATCCCCTTAAGAAGTTCACTGAGGGCATAAATTTCTCTTATAAGATGTTTCGATGTTTGATTAAACTGTTGCTGTGAAGTCCAGGAGAAAAATTATCTGAGGATTTAATAGTTACCCATTATGAAGTTCTTTTCTTGTTTGTTTGTTTCCAGATTATTGAGGAGCAGAATGAGCACATACGGGAGCTTGAAGCCCAGGTAGAATGTCTGAAAAGCGATCAAGAACGTGTGAAGAAAAAAAATTATGAGGAAGTAGAGCAATTGAATGATGTAATTGATAAGCTTCAAAAAAAATGTATCTGCGGATACTGCAGCTTTACAAGAAGATGCTGACAGTTTGAAACACACACTTGATACAGTTCTAGCACAAAAAGCAGCTTTGGAGAAGCAAGTAGAAAACTGGAATGTAGAGGTATCTCGAACAAAGAATGAGCTTGAGGAAAAGAACTTAAAAATTAATCAGCTAAAGCAAGAGATAAGTACGTTAAAAAAAGAGAATGAAAGAATAGAGAATTATAAGCATGCACTGATGAAAGGTGATTGGGAAAAAGCAGAAGGCAGAGGCTATGGGAAAATTGAAGAAGTGGAAGAAGGCTCATGTGAGAAGCTAGAGTTGCTAGATCAAAGCCAGCTTAGGTCTTCAGATGAAAATACAAGAGTCACAATTAGCAAAATGGAGGTTCAACTGCAGCAACTTCAGGCATGCATTAATGAAAAAGATTCAGAATTGTGCCAGTCCTACAATGAAATAAAAGACCTGAAAGAGCGAGGCAAAGCTGAAAGAGAAACACTTAACAAGAAGATATTAGAACTGGAAAAAACTCTAGTGGAAAAAGTTGCTGCTGCTCTTGTGAGTCAAGTTCAGCTAAATGCAGTTCAGGAGCAAAGGAAATTCATGCAGGAAATTCAGGAAGCTTCAGAATGTGTAGAGGAAGCCAGCAAGAATGCCCAAACAGAAGGTGTGAGCGATAGAACTGAAAATGAGACGGAATCAAAATTATCATTCCTAACACAGAAGCTTAGTGAGATGGAGGACCAACTGGCAACGGTAAATCGTAACTTGGAGCTAGAAACAGAAAATGTAAAAATTGCCCAAAAGGAAGCTAAGATGAAAGAAGAGAGACTTTCAGAACTTCAGCAATTACTAGAAGAGGTGCAAGACAAACACAAAGGAGAGATTCAGAAATACATTAAGCAAGAAGAAATGCAGACATATCAGGTAATTAGATGCCATTTTCTATTGGCTTGTTTTTGCTAAAATCAGTTATTTTATGTAAACTATAAGGAGTGAAACACTTCTTAATGAGACTATTGATAGGAATATTCTGCTGTGTGGGGTAGATCTTCATTTCTGTATTATTCCTGGAGTTAGGAAGAAGGGAAGGATGTTGTTATAGATGAGCTCCACTATCAGTTTCCATTTTGCATTAAAAACACCTTGCCTTTTCGTGAAGTAAGGTGATTTTGAGCATCTGCTTTCTTATTCTTACTTTGAACTGACACAGGATGGAGTGAATTACACTTCTACATAGCATAGATGTAGAGAGAGAAAAATTAAAATGATAAAAATTATCTAAGAGAGGTTTCAGAATGATTAGGGAGTGATAGCAATTTGCTTGAGGGGGAGGTTGTTTGTTTGTGTATGCTTTGATTTTAATTTACTTTTTCTTTCTTTTCTGTCTTGATTGCAAAGATATTTCCCATCATTAGTTTTTGCCAGATAAGTTTTCCATCCACCACTGGTTATGTTGCCTCTGCATGTAAAAACTTCAGATTTTACTGTGCTTGATAGCCCAAACTTGGGCTTGGTCACTGAAAACACTTAAATTCAGAGACATCGTGGAACCCAGTGCTGGACCAGAAAAGGTTCAAAGACCTTTCATACAGATATAGATTGAATGAATGTCATAAATGTCTTAAGTTAAATATTATCAGACATAATTTCCTACTCTGACCTTCCTCCCTGTGCTTTCTACATGGTGAGCCAATTTCTGGTTGCAGTTCAGTGAACTTGAGGAAAATAATCTTTCCTCCCATGCTTATCCAGTCTGTGGGAGTTAATCTAGGAAAATGTCTTTCAGTCTTAATTTTTGAGGCTATGTTAATCCCAATAACATTTGTTATGTTGGTGTGAAAGTGATCAGTGCTGTTAATAACTTGATTCTTCCTAAGATTCTTCACCTTTTTCCATACCTTGTGTTGCCATGTAGGTAGAAGCAGAACTCATGGAAAGTCGAAAGGAAAATGTGCTTATTAATGAACTTGAACTGGAGAAAGTTAAAGAGGAGGCAGCTGCTGCTAAGGAAGAACTGAGCAGTTACAGAGGAAAGGCAGAAAAACTTCAGCAAGAACTAGCAGTAAGAACCAGATTGTTCCATATTGTATTTAAAGCAAACGATTATGCAGGACTTAATGTGCAAACATGCACGCTGTAGGGGTTTTTTGAATCTTGTACTGAGAATGCAACTAAGAAAAACGATCGCTTAGTATCTACTGAGTAGAGCTGATGCTGTAGACCAAATCCTCGCTTGTTGCCACAGTACATAGTTTTACAGTCCGCTGTAGCGCGATGTTGGATCCAGAGCTGTGTTTCTTAGGAGATAATATTTGTTACCATGTGTCATAACTGCTTTAAATTAGGACTAAACTGAGCTCTAATGGCAGAGAAAATTGTTTGGGCTTTAGATGTTTTTTTTTTTTAAAGTATTTGGAAGGACTGCAATTCAGATCCTCCATATTTACAGGTAAAAGAAGCAAGTCTGACACATCTTCAGGAAGACCTGCGCAAAGTCAAAGAGAACCTAGTTCAAGCAGAAGAGAGGCTTGCAAGTTACGTGAGAAAGGACAAGGAAATGGCAAAAACTGAAAGCAAAAAGGATGCAGAGATATTGTGTGATTTGTCAACCAGTGAGTCGAGTCTAACTAGAAAAAGCTCACCATCGCAGACAGACAAGACTGTGGAAATCAACAGCTGTATCCAAACTTCACCAGTCGCTGTTAAAAATGCAGAAATCCAAATTGAGTTGCAAAACGGATGTTCTTCAGAAGAGGTCACGGAGATCATAAGAGAATTTACTGAGAAAATCGACCAAATGCAGGAACTCCACGCTGCTGAAATCATGGACATGGAGACAAGGCATATCTCTGAATCTGAAGCGCTAAAGAGAGAGAAGTTTGTTGCAGTGCAGGTATTGACTGAAGAATGTAATACTTTAAAGGAAGTCATAGAAACTCTACGAGCTAAAGAGGTATGTATCCTATTTTGTACTCATTGGGTTACTTTGGTTCCTGCTTTTGCTCCTGCTACAGAAATCCCCATTTAAAGTCTATTAAGCCTGAAGCGCCACATGTTCAGTTTAAAGCTTTTAAGTGTTCTGCTGTACCACAGCCTAGGGAGAGACTGTGAACCCCTTCCTCAGAACTTTTGAGAGTGTGCTCAGTTGTCAGATGCTTCCTTGTGCTACTGCCTTGGACCTGTCCCGTGCCGAGAAGTGGGCACAAGTCACCCTATGGAATGCCATCTTTCTCGTGTCCATTTTGAGTACTTTGACTGCAGAGGAAACTGAACAAAGAGGCTCATACGGCTTCCTGCTCCTTAGAATTAGCTCCCATATTGTGAGTGGCTGTGGGGTGATTAAAGATTTGATTGTTCCCTTTTCTAAATATAGGGAATCCCAGCTTCTGGAATAGCATGTTCTCCACTGTATCAAGCTAGAGATGGAGGTTCTAGTGGTAAGAAACTTGTTTTTATGGATTTCAAACAGCACTATAATTGAAATCTGCCTTTTTTTTTTTTTTAAGTATTAAGTTTACCATTAAAGAGTTTGTGTTCTGTGAAATAAAAACAACTGCTCCCCAGATGGAAGCAGAAGCCTGTCACACTAAGAAAAGGTGCTGAGCATGCAGAGTCTATTCATTTGCTGCAGAGGAAGATGACCAGAGTGGAGATGGGTTGAGTCAAGGCATCAGATGCTGAATTTTTTTTTTTTTTCTTCCTACTGGAGTTACTAAGTTCTCCTTACATATTACATTCTCTTCAGTGTAGCTTTATCAACCTTTGATAGACTTTAAAGCTACATCTCTCTAGTGGGAGATGATGACAGGTACTGACTTCTCCAGGAACAATAAAAATTATTATGATCCTTTTCATAGGCAAAGGCTGTGCATATTAAGGAGGGGTCATTTGGCAGATGTGTTTGTGCAAGTAGTTGTTTCTGGTTTAGAACCAGACTAGGATTTTTTAAATTTTGGGGTTTTTAGTTTTGTTTTGCTGTTACTGCTTTGAAAGTAGAGAAGAAAAGTGATAAAACAGGTAGTCTCCAGGCTTAGAATCAACTCTGGTGACATGCAACCACCTGTTACAACAACAGACAAAAATACTTTTTTGATGCCTGTACTTCAAAGTTTCACAGTAATCCAGCTTTCATGTTTTTCTCCTCTTTTATTTTAGACTCCAGTTCAGACTGGAGTCAAGGAATGTATCTTGCTCAGACCCAGGGATCTGACACGATATCTGAAGGAATAGATGAAGGTGAAACTTCAACAGATTTACTTCCAAAAAAAATTAAGGTAAAATAGAACTGGGCATTTTTATTATGGAACAAGAGTGATGCTACCAAAAGGTTAGATTAGCTGCTGCTCTGTTAGCAAGAGGAGAGCCATTTAGATAAGTTTTAAAGTTTTGGCTATTTTTATACATATATAAAAATACTTCTGATAAATGATATGCATTTATGCATGTTAAATTAGGTGAAATGAGTATTGAAACTGTATGCTTGTTCTCAGTTATGATTATGAGAAATCTAACTACTGTTAATTATAATTTATTATAGTTACTGTGTATTAATGATAATGCCACTATCACTTATTACACAATTTTATATATTCTGTTGTTATAGGTGTAGAATAATATCTATGTTACAAAAGTAAACAAATGTGTTTATTATAAACAGTAAGGGGATCATGTTTTTAATTACATTTAAAAAAAGGGGAAGTCATTTTGCAACAAAGCCCTGGCTTAATAGTAATTTCAGAAAGTGAATTGCAAAGCTCACCTGGAAGCTTTCCAGGACTTTGTTTTTAAAATGTCAGTTTCCATCAGCAACCATCTTACAATCTGAGTATTGATTTGACAGATGAACTTTGGGAATTTTCATTTGAAACTGAGGAAAAATACAACTATTGAATAAGTTGCATTGTTCGGCTGATACAAAAAACTGGGTGACACTTGCGTCTTTGAAATGAGGAAGCATAAATAGCTTCCTTATGCTGATCAATTTAGAAGTACCAGTATTGCAATATGTATGAAATAAAATGTCTGTTGTGCTGCTGCTGCTGCTGGGCATTACTGATTTCTCTTTGTATTTATTATAGGGGTTGCTGAGAGCAGTCCATCATGAAGGTATACAGGTGCTGTCTCTCACTGAATTTCCATACAGTGAAAGAGAGATGCCACCTCTTAAGCAGGAGACGGAGTGTTGGTTTGAAGAAAGGAAAGCTTTTCTAAGCACAATTTCATCTTTAAAAGACCTAATTGCAAAAATGCAACTTCATAGAGACGCTGAGGTATTAATAATAAGATTCTAAAAAATATATATACACGTATAAAAGTATTTATCTAAATAAAAAATAATATATTATAACCTTATAAGACACATTCACAATTCAGGTTTAAGTGCTCTAAATATACTGTCACTAGGTAAAAGATTTCGAAAATATGCAGTAAACCTGTATGTCACACTTTCTGGTAATATATCTTAAATCACAGCTTGCGTTTGTTGTTCAGTGCATTGACAGCTTTTGGCTGTAGAGATCCACCTTTTTAAAATAATCCTGTGTTGAAAGCACATCTCCAGTAGCAGTTAAAGTATATTTTTTAATGTTATTTGTTGGTGTAATAGAACTTGGATGCTATTAAAAAGATACTGTCGCGAGAGAAAAGAGGGGGAAAACTGTTTAAAATACAACACAGTATGAATCAGTAATCTGTTAAAACTTATTGGGACTTGCCTGTGTAATTAGCCCAGTTAGACTTTTGGATCTATATAAGTACTTTCTAAGACTTCTGTGTTTCCTTCCATGTGCAGTGGGGAGGGTTAACTTCACAACATTATAAAATCTCCTCGATACACGGTATCTGCACCCTGCCACATAGCGCTGCGAGGGGCTCGGAACATGCATGTCACAGAAATTAAAATGATACTGTGATACAATAACACAAATAAGATCTACACCGGGCTAAGTTTTCAGTTAGAAAAAGCTAACCTGCATCCACTGACACGCAGATAGAAGTGCAGCATTTGGGCATGCAGAGGAAGCGTGACATGTGCAACGAATACATCTGTTTGGATGAATGAAAGTTACGTCACTCCTGAGTAAGAAAAGCTCGGTATTCCACTGAAAACACACACTTCACATAATACGATAACGACCGTTCTTGACGTAATCTTTGAATTCTGCTGTTTACTTTTTGTTCTGCCACTGTAGATTTATGCAAGTACCGAATCTCCTGAAAGTGTCTCAGACTGGCGAGGAGAACTTCTGCGTGCTGTTCAGCAGCTTTTTGTGAGAGAGCAAAATGTCCTCCTCGCTGCCTTTCAAACCGAACTGGCGGAACTGGGCACAAGAGATGCAGTGATACTGATGAGTCAGTTAGAGCACAGACTACAAGAGCAGGTAATATAAAATGTACTTTAGTCCAAGTGTGTTTGTCTACATTAGCTTTTAATTTTGAATGGATAAGTCCATTTAAAAATACATGTCTCAGTTTCGGCACTCTAAGGGTGAAAACAAAGTAAAACTTGTAGGAAGAAGAGCCGTCCTTAGAAAGGAAAACTGATGTGGTATGGGGAAGGAGATTTTTGGGTGCACAAGCTATAGAAAAAAATACAGCCTTCAGAGATAAATCTGAATTAAACATAGTTGTCGTGAGCTTCATTTCATTAAGTTAATTAGAATAATGTCACACTGTCTAAGAGAAAAGGTAGCTTGTATACATGAAGCAAGGTGTAAAAAGAGGAAGTGATAAAGCTGCTACGGGACAAACAGGTCAGTTGTCTCCTCTGGAACATGGAAATATCAGTGAGGAAAATTACAATTTGCCATAAAACTGACAGGTCTTTTGATTAGATAATTTTGATGCCTAGCAGAGAAATAAAAAAAGTCAGTTCTTCCCAATATTATAATACTGACTTAATCATGACTTACTGGAAAACGTTCTGCTTATGTGGGCACTATGAATCTCTAAGTGGACTTACTGTGCACACCATAGATATGCTAATGAAATCTGGAGTTTTACTTTTAAATCTTTCTAATGTTAACAGGCTACTAACCAGAGATCAGCAATGGACTGTCTTCAGAATGCAGACAGAAGAAGTTTGCTGATGGAGATTCAAGTATTGCACGCTCAGATGAACAGTAAGAAAAATAATCCAAAGAGAGAACAAGAGATGGATTCAAAAAACCAAGGTGACTTCTGTGATAATCTGTGTCAGTTTCCAGATGCTTTCATGGCAGTGCTTATAACACTGTAGGGGAAAAAAATACTGCGTTGTGCTCTGATTTTGATGCTCGTCTTCCGAGCGTGCATACTTTTCATCTTTTTCAATCTTATTGGACCGATTTTGCAAAAATTAAGATACAGTCTGTGTTCTTACCCCTTGTACCAACCCTATTTTCCATGTATGCACTTCAGTGTTTAGGTTCAACATATCTAAGTTGGATAGTCATAATGAGTGTACTAAGCAGGAATTAGAATGAACAGCAAAAAGCTCAGAGAACAGGTCTACTTTACAATTCAGTAAACACTCTCTGTCAGTGTTTTGTCACAGAAATGTGGTCACACATATACGTGCATACCTAACTTCAGTTACGTTAGGCATAATCCAAATGATAGCTATTCATACGGTTGTGCACTTAGCCTTTTAAAGCATTAGAAGAGCTGCAGTGATTTCTTGGAAGGCATGACATACTCCAGTGTAAAAGGCATGGTTTTGCTTTCACTTCACTGTTGAGAGAATATATTGTTTTAAAATACTGCTCTTGGTGACAGCTTTGTGGTCATTCTCTGTGCTAGGGGGAACTTTATCCAGATAGAATGCTGTTTGTTTACTAAGTAATTTCCATATTAATGATACTCTCATTAGAAATGCTGGAGTATAACATGCAGCAGAAGCAGTCACAGATACTGGAGATGCAAGTGGAGCTTCGGAGTGTGAAGGACAGAGCAGCTGAGCTACAGGAACAGCTGAATTCAGAGAGAATGACGGGTACTGAGCTGAAGAATGAACTTGCACAAGCCAAACTAGAGCTTGAAACAACCCTTAAAGCACAGCACAAGCACTTCAAGGACCTAGAAACCATCAGGTGTGGCTTTTGGTGTCAACCTCTCTGTGTTGACAGTGAAGATGATCTTTTCTGTGTTGTCTCTAATTATAATACTGATGTCATTAAGGAAGTTTTTATGTAAAACGTAGCTGACAAAAAATAGAATTCTATAGATATCATTTTTCTATCAAAAATGATAATTCTATAGATTAAGATCTGATTCATTGTTTGATCCAAGGATTTATTAATGTCAAGTTTTCTTGTAAATTTTTACACATTAGGTTACTGTGTACAAGCTAGTAAGTATCCCATATTTATCAAAGGCTTTTTTACTTCTAAAACTGAACATGGAGAAAAAAATTGCAGACTTAAGATGACTTTGCCAGTACTTCCATATGAAATTCTGTAACTTCTGAGTGTTACTTTGGCATGTCCAACAGCAGAGCTACCAGGCCAAAGATTTGGTATTTGAGAAAGCAGTTATTATTTATGCCTTTACCAGATGGATGTGCCCATGTACAGTACCTTCACTTTCAGCTCAGAGGTAACAAATTAAGACAGAGTTTAAATTGTTATTACTTCATAGATTACTTTATGGCCTTTATAGACCCTCAGGAGCAAGATTCTTTTGCAAATTGATGGAAAATCGGGAAAAAGAAATTGGGGCATAGGGTTGTTTTCTCTTTTATTATTATTTTTTAATTATTATTACTTATTTCCACCCTCTCCAAGATAGATTTCCCTCACACACACCCCACACACACACACTTTGAGACACATGGCAGCAAGATACATTTCCGCTGCATTCTTTGGGATTTTGGCCAGTTACCAGATTAAGTTGAACACTAGCTGCCTCTGAGCAACCAATTATGAAAAATGGCAGCTACAAAATTAGCAGGATGGACACACTTTCTGTCGTTTTTGAGCTATGCAACTGTTATTTTTGAGTTAGGCTTATTTTTCTATATCAGCTTTTCACTGTTACTCTGCTACATGAGCAGTGTTTTCAGTGCACCAGATAGAATAAATATCAAGTAGCTGATGTTACTGTGGTAGGATTAGAGCCGCTGTCTAATCTAAAGGTTGCCCATTTCTCTTTCAGGACTGAAGTTAAAGAAAAAGCAGCTGAGTTAGATATTCTCAAGGATACAATGGCCAGCGAACAGAAGAAATCGAGAGAGCTACAGTGGGCTTTGGAAAAGGAAAAAGCTAAAATGGAACGCGGTGAGGAAAGAGGAAGAGAAGAGCTTGAGGTATTCATTTTACATAATCTCAAATGGCCTGGAACATCAAGGAGCATGCAAATGTTCTTTTGGTTAACGTTTCATCTCAGCCTACGGTTTTGTCCAATGTGTGCTCCACTCTCTGTATTCAGCAGCGGTATTGTGTCATCTAGAGCAGAAGAAAGATGTGTAGAAGTTGTGTGGCAAAGAAAGAAAAAGGCCTGATGCCCGTTCCATTTAAATCAATAATAATTTTACAACTGTGCTTGTCAGGTCAAAGATGAAAACATTCTACTTTGTATAATAGCTCTCAGATATTTAAGGGGACAGGACACTGCTAACCTGGCTACACCTAGCTCCCACCACAACCTAATTCATAAAAGATGGCACTTGAGAATATTGTTTAAGGAGTTATGTGGTTTGTCTCCTTTTTAAAAGTCAGCAGTTTCACTTCATGAAAACGAAACTAGGGAGTTTACTTTAGGAGAAAATGCATTACTCATTTCCTTGGTACCTCTGCAGTGTCTGATATAGTGAAGGAGAGAGCAGGTGTCCTAATACAAGTAGTAAGACAGAAGAGCAATCGCTTGAACAGCATGGATTTATTTAGATCTTGAAATCTTTAGCGTGCAAAATCACTTTTGCAGTTTCAGAAAGTAAAAGTAGCTAGTTATGTTAACAAACAGCCATAGTCCTGAAGTTTATCTTGCTAAAAAGTATGTTACAAATATTCTTCTTTTTATGAGGTGATCTGATTTTAGAATAAAGACACCTGTAATATATTTTAATATCAGATGCAACTGCAGCATTCAGAGTATTGTCCCAATGATTGTGAATAGCAAAACCCTTTCACAGCAACGTGTGCAGAGGGAGCATACGTGCAGTTTGCAGAAGGTAATGGGAAGTGTACACAAACGGCTTTAATCGAGTCTCTTTTTCTAATTTCTTATGGAAGGATTTAAAATTTTCACTTGAAGATCAAAAACAAAAGAACTTAGAGCTAACTAAACTTTTGGAGCAAGAGAAACAGCTATCAACTGATCTGCAACAGAAAATTGAATCCCAAGAAGCACTCAGTGCTGCCCAGCTGTCACGTGAACGGGGCCGTAATTCTGAGTTGCAGGTGCTTCTTGAATCAGAGAAGGTTCGAGCTCTTGAAATCAGCAGTGCCCTAGAAAGGGAAAAAGAGCTATGTGCTCAGCTTCAAAGTGCTGAAGATAAGGGGCAAGCTGGAACACCTAATCCTTCTGAGGAATTACTTAAGGAGCTACAGAAACAAATGGATGAAAAGCATGACCGTATAGTGGAGTTAGTAAGTGAGATGGAGAAGTACAAACTGGAATCTGTGCAAGTGAGACAGCAAATGGAAAAAGAAAGGCAGATCCAGAGGAAAGCATTGCAAGCAGAACAAGATGCTAACATAATAGCACAGAAGAAACTCCATGAACTGGAGTCCAAAGTAGAAGACCTTCAGTGGCAACTTGGAGAAAAGAAGCAAGAGGTTCATAAACTAGGGAATGAAACAAAGAAGTTGCTTGAAATAATCCAAGAACTACAGAACAAAGAGCAGGAGAATGAAGGGAGAAGGGAAGCTGGAAGGACACCAAGCCACAACCCAAATGAGGTACAGTAGGACTGAGAGCAATGTGTAATACTGAACTGTGCAATCCAGCTTTTAATTCTTTTGTTCAGTTAGCATTGTGTGTCACTGTGCCTTTACTCCGTCTATAGAACAGCCTACGGGTTACAAAACACAGGTACCAGGGATTTTGCTACCTGAAACTGTTCACACACATCCTCTGATCATAAAGCTTGTAGAGGTGTGTAAGGAGGAGCGTGAGCAGGAGAAATTATCTGAATATATATACACACACACACAGATATTGTGTCTCAGGATAGAAGAATATTCCCTGCACCCAGCTGCAGGAATGTGCTGTCCCTACTCGGGAACGCTCCAGGTCAGTGCTCTTAAACTTTAGTTCATAAATAGCAAGTTGTCCTTGAAACATTTAAAAGTGATCTTCCAACAACTTCAGTAATTAAATGAGTAAGTAATCAAACAAGCATGTGCATGGATACGTATCTGTTGGCAACCAACATAGAAGGATTAAATCAAAGTAAAAAATTCATTTCAGAATTTAGCCTGATTTTTAGATGAGTGCAAGTTGGAACCACTGTTGTCTGTAAAATTTTCTCTCTCATAAAAGGCCTGAAAAGTTTTTAAATTATTTTAAAAACTCTTCAGAAACTTCCCTGTAAGAGGTAAGTGTTGTCGAGAGGGTGATTTATGGATGGTCCAGGAGAAAATGTTCAGCAGACCTGCCTCTCTGCTGACTGTGTTTTTGCCCATCCTGCCATCATTCCATGCCTTTTGGTAGCTGTCTGTCTGTGGAGCCAGGAAGGAAATTTTTCTCTTCATCTAATTTGGCTGCTGTTTTGAATCTTCTGAAGCATTGGAAATTGCCCACAGCTAGAGGCAGGATGTTGAGTGTATTGATAACTGATAGCATCGATCTTCCTGCCATGCTCGGTTTTGTGCACCTTGTTCTTGTGCTCAGAGGAAACTGTGGTCAACGAAGTCTTCCCTTGGGTCAGGTTGAGAGAGGCTGTTGGGGCTTTTTCTGCTCCTTGGCAGCAGACAATACAATTTCTTTCCAGGATCTGCCTGGAGTTTCAATGATGAATCTCCTGCTGTTTCCTGTGACACTTTCTGGTGGGTTGACCATGGCTGGAGGGCAGGTGCCCACCAAAGCTGCTCTGTCACTGCCCTCCACAGCAGAGCAGGGGAGAGAGGATACAACAAAAGGCTCATGGTCTGAGATAAGGACAGGGAGGGATCACTCACCAGTTACTGTCGTGGGCAAAACAGACTTGAATTGGGGAAAATTAATTTATTACCAATCAAATCATAGTAATAAAATGAGAAATAACCTTCCCCCCACCCATCCCTTCCTCCTGGGCTCAGCTTTGCTCCCAATTTCTCTACGTCCTCCCCTGCAGCGCAGGGGGATGGGGAATGGGGGTTGTGGTCAGTCCATCACACGCTGTCTCTGCTGCTCCTTCTTCCTCAGGAGGAGGGAACCTCACACTCTGCCCCTGCTCCAGCATGTGGCATCCCTCCCATGGGAGACAGTCCCCCACAAACTTTTCCATGTGAGTCCTTCCCACAAACTGCTCCAGCGTGGGTCCCTCCCACAGGGTGCAGTCCTTCAGGAGCAGCCTGCTCCAGCCTGGGTCCCCCATGGGGTCACAAGTCCTGCATCCCCCTGCATCCCAGTGTGGGGTCCTCTCTGGGCTGCAGGTGGGTCTCTGCTCCGCTGTGACCCTCCATGGTTGCAGGGCACAGCCGGCCTCACCATGGTCTGCACCACGGGCTGCTGGGGAATCTCTGCTCCGGTGCCTGGAGCACCTTTTCCCCCTCCTTCTCCACTGACCTTGGTGTCTGCGGAGCTGTTCCTCTCATATCTTCTCACTCTTCTGTCTGGCTGCAGTTGCTGTTGCACAGCAACTTTTCGCCCCCTTCTCAAATATGTTGTTCCAGAGGCACCCCCACTGTTGCTGATGGGCTCGGCCTTGGCCAGCAGCAGGTCTGTCTTGGAGCCAGCTGGCATTGGCTCTGTTGGAAGCTGCTGGAAGCTTCTCACTGAAGTCATCCCTCTAGCCCCCCCGCTATCAAACCTTTGCCATGCAAACCCAATAGACATTTGCAACACTCTGCCTTTTTTTCTCATTGGTACCACACCATGGTCAAACATCCATGGACACAGCTGTAGGTTTCCGTGGGGAGGGCTAGCAGTTCTTCCATAGCCGGTGTCGGGGGAGCATGAGTGAGGGCGAGGAGCTCAAGCTCAGTGGATTTGCTTCACTTGTGGCAGCATCTGTAGTATGGCTGTCTGTGACTGGGGACAGACTTCCACAACCATGGTGGGCTTTTCCAGTCCTCTTCCTCTGACTGGGAATTGGTCACTGAAACACTTGGGCGTGCAGTTGCTGAAATTCCATGCACAGCTGGTAGAGTTGGTGGAAGAAACAGAAGGGCTGAGTTTGCTGAAGGGTTTCACGCTGTAGCTGTGTGGTTGCTGGATCTTAGTCAGGAGAGGCATCACACTATACAATTCCCTGATAATAGTTCAGTGGTGCACTGCAACAACTGTGTAGTCACACTAAACTCCTTTCTGTGGCAGAACTGTTTGTTCTTCAGTTTGAGTGTGTTTCAGAACCAAATGTTTCCATTTTAAAGTACTGCATCACATGCATTCTCTGTTGAGTAAAAATACGTCTTTATGTTCAGACTACCTGGGATACACCCAATGACAGAACAAGAAATTGGGTTCTCCAGCAAAAAATGGAAGGAGCTGAGACGAATGAATCAACCTACCCCATGCTGACGGGAGGAGGAGAGCTCTCTGCTGCTACTGAAATCCTGGAAAACGTCAGAAAAAAGCTGCAAAACGCATCTCCAAAGCTGAAGCAGTTGGCTCGGAAAGCTGCCAGCAGGTTAGGCCAGTCTCCAGCTACTCGGGTTTGTTCGTAGCAACCAGCCAGCTGATTTATTGGATTTCAGTCAGAGTTCACAGCCCGCGGGCCTAACTAATTTTGGGGGTGTTCTAGCTTTACAGCAGATATATAACAGGATCACAGAATATCAAGGGCTGCTCTGAATCTCGCGTGTTTCACGTGGTCCTTTATAAGTGACAGCAAAATCGTCTTTTTTTTCTCTGCAAAGTGATAAAACTTTATTTGGGTATGGTGTGTAGGTGGAAGGTCATTGTAAAGCAATTTAGTAATTAAATAATTCACTGTATAAGGGAACGAATACAGGGATTATTGCTATGGATCGCCTCCCTTGCTCCCCTTCCCCGGAAGAAATTAATATTCTATAGTCAAGTGATTCTTATTTTCTCAGGTTACTATCTCTTTAAGGAAAATAAAAAACACCCTAGCATGGTACCAGGTTCATGGGGGGTTTGGTTCTGGTTTTATTTTGATGGGATGGTGTTTATTAGGTATTTATTCGGAAACATTTTGGCAAAACAGAATGCATTATATCTTGAAAATATCCTAAAATTTTGCTCACACAGATTGAATAAATCTGTGGGAAGCAGAACCATGTTCTAAATGTCCTTCACGTAGAACATCCTTTTCTCAAGATTACTGGGAACTCTTCTACGAAAAGAAATCACTGTGGAATCTCTGAGCAGTCTTGAGACGGTGGCCGTGTCTCCAGTGACTGTGCTGCTGCCTTTGCTGACGTCCCGGTGCCCGTGGCTGGACGGGCAGCCCTGTCGGTCCGTCTGGGGGCGGCAGGCGACACCTGCTGCTGAAACTCTCGCTTTTGTTTCAGGCTGCAGTTCGAGACAGCAGATGATCAAGACTTCATTGGAATACAAAATGCTATTGAGGAGGTTATTTCAGAGCTGCAAAAACTGCCCGGAGCGTCCTGTCTGGAAAAGGTGAGAGTGCCATGCTGTAACTTTCGGTGGGAGGTTTTGGATGATGAGATGCAAGCGGAAACCAGCAAGGAATTCAGTCTGTGCTTACCCAGGTCTGCACTTTACAGACGAAAATGTGCTCCAGTGAGAGTGCTGATTTGGAGCTGAAGTGTAAAAACCCCTTCCCTTTTGGTTTTTTTTCAGTTTAAATACCTTAAATGTGAATTTTCAACTTTCAAATTAAAACCTTTCCAGTTTAATTATAGATTTTTTTTCATCTCATGGCTTTTTCTTTAAGAAAAGATACTTTACTTTCAGCAGTATTTCTGTAACTGAGGTAACTTGGCTCACTACTTCCCGATACCCAAATCAACATTTCATATTTACTATGTTGTGTTGATGCAACACATTGACTTCAACTGCCCTGTATGTACCAAAGGAAAGGCAGTCGAAGACTGAGTATTGTGCAGCTGTGTAAAAATGAAATGAGGTAATCTGCTCCAAAGACTTCAGCAATATTTGACTGTAACTGAGCTTGGCTAGGTCCGTACCTGCATTTTAAGCACGTATTTTCAACATGACTTGAAAAAAGCTTTGGGACTTTTCCTCTAAGTTAGATGCAAAGGTCGCAGAAGAGCTTTGCAGATTGCTATAGCTGGCACAATTGAGCCTGTGTGAACATGTTCTGCTGTGGTACACAGGATAAGCATTGCAGAGAAAGTCACATTAATCTCAGTTTTACCTGTATGCCTGTGTTTTCTTTATATAAGTTGTTATAAAGTTATTGTCATATCTACAAAGGCTTTTCACTGTAAGCCAGTTATTTTCAGGTTGGGATCTAATACCAAGTTGTGCTTGGGTTTTCTTTCTTCCTCCCAGCTGAAGCTGGTGCTGCCACCGGGGACTCCATCCAGCTCGTTGACGGAGAGGCTGCTGAGACAAAATGCTGAGCTGACGGGCTTTGTCAGCAGACTGAGCGAAGAAAAGAACAATTTGAGGAATGCTGTTATGAAACTGGAGGAAGAAGTGACAAGATACAAGCACAGACAACCTTCTGGAGATTACGTATGTCTGCAGTGGCGCTGATGTGATGATGTATAGATGGGCATAGAAGCCTCGTTCTTTGTCCCAGTCACCTAAAAGGGAGTGGTCAAGCTGTCAGTCTTTGCTTCCCTCTGCAGAGTAAAAGGGTGTGAGTCATTCCTGTCCTGCGGTCAGTAGATCCCGACTCACTCTGTTTACTGTCAGCTTTGTGATTTTATCCAACTTCCTTTTGTTATCCACTCTTTTAAACTGTGTGTGCTTCTCTCTTTGATCTGGATCTCATCACTGTGATGAGTAGCAAATAGATCCAGGTAGCTTCAAGATCATGAAGCCAGGATAAACCAAGAAGAGGGTTGGGTTTGGGTTTGTTTTTTTTTTTCTTTTGAGAAGCTTTATTTTTCTAGGACATTGATCAGGCTCCTAAAGTCACTCCCTGAGGTGTTATGATGCAAGAGTAGCCTCAAATCCAATCAGTGGGTAGTTTTTCTTTCAGTAATTTTACGAGCTCTCCACCAAACCAATGACTAGAATGGTAGAGCTCAACCTTTTCTAAACTGTGTGGTTCAAATCCAGTTTCTTTTGTCTTCAGTCTTCTAGACACTCATCGGATGTTGGAGTTAATATCGATACTCTTCTTGCCTCTGAGAAGGAAATTTGGAACAGAGAGAAGCTGTCACTGCAGAAGGCTTTGAAGCAAGCTGATGCAGAACTCTCCAAGCTGAGAGCAGAGCTCAGGAGCGAAGCTTTCCTCAGAGAACTGGGATCAGATTCTGAAAACACTGTTTTAAGGGTAGGAAGACTTTGTTGCCCACATGCTAACTACTGCTACTTATTCCATTTGGGTTGTTCATTGTGTTCACTCTGCTTATTCTAAGAAAACGGGTAGTAATTCAGTTCTAAAATTTTCATTCTCAGATACCTGACCCCCAGTTTTTCTCCCCAAGAATGATATGTAAGCACCTATGTCGTCCTTTTTCATCTGCTCTATTTCTTGCTGCTCAGGTGATCGTCTGCACAAGCCACATACAGCAAGTGGGAGCAGTAGTGCAGTCTTCCCCGTGATAGCCAGAACTGAATAGTCACAGAACTGCTGTAGGAGTAATGATGTCAACAAGCCTAGAACTGTAATAGTTTTGGAGCTTACCTGGCTTTTTTATTTTCTTCTTGTAGAGAATTTATGGCAAATACCTACGAGCAGAGAGTTTTCGGAAGGCTCTCATATATCAGAAAAAATATTTGCTGCTGTTACTGGGCGGGTTCCAGGAGTGTGAAGAAGCCACGCTGGCCCTCATTGCCCGAATGGGTGGGCAGCCTTCCTACACGGACCTCGAAATCATCACGCATCACTCGAAGGGTTTCACGAGATTTCGCTCTGCGGTCAGAGTGTCCATTGCAATTTCACGGTAAACTGGGAGAAGTCGGATTTCGAACAGATACGACCGTGCAGTTTAATATATACGTGTCTGGCTCCCTACTGGAGTCTGGAACGTCTCTTGTTGTGTCCTGTTTAAATAGCACGGCTTTGGTAGTCGTGAATATAGCAGATGCTGTGTAGGGTGACAAGTTCAGCAGAGCATAGGTAAAACCTGTAATAGGAATAAGCAGTCTGATTGTAGTTGGAAGTGGCTCTGTGATAATCAATCAAAGATGGAGCATATTGGATAAAGTCATCAGGTTAGGAAAAAAATACTAGCAGTTCCAGGGTATGCACTTACTGACAAAAGTGTTTTCTGCCACTTAATTTCATTGAAAGGTTAAATTCTTACACAAAAGCAAAATATGGATTGTTGGAACTAAATGTATTTGCCTGGGTAGTCCTTCGAATTCACAGGATTCAGCTCTCAGACTGAGGATCAATAGGACTAGATGGGGATGAACAAGTGAAGGTTATTACTGCATAGGACTGCCGCGTCGCTAGCAAACCCTCATCTCAGACATTAGAACCCCCAAGCACTCCAGCTGCCTGTTGATCAAAGCCTGGTGTGCAGTACAGTTCAAGGAGCTGTTCGTATACCTGTTGTAACAGAGGCTTCTACTCATCGCACTCTGCAGTTCCGAATTCGGGGATGCAACGGGAAAAAAGTCTATTTTGTACGGTTTTAAAATGCTGATGCTCTGTTGCTTAGGTGCTTCAGCCATTTGCTGTCCACTTGGACTTAGGCAGCACCTCTGGAATTGCTGGAATTGCAGAGGTGAAGCTGAAAGCAGATCTGGCTGTTTTTCATAGGGATGCGTATAAGGGTCTTTTGTGCTGACTCTTCGGGTTTTAGACGCCCACGCTTTAATTTTGCTTAGTGTTCAAGAAATTCTTATGCCTTCTAGAACAGAACAAGCAGATTATTTATAGCAGGCTATTTCACGTATCCTGAAGTTGGGTTTTTTTTAATTTGAAACGCAGAATGAAGTTCCTGGTTCGTCGCTGGCACCGAGTTACAGGTTCTGGTGGACTAAGTGTCAACAGGGAGGTCTTCAGCCAGAACACAGGTAAATCGCACTCCGGTGATGACTGCAGAGTGTTCACAAGTCACACCACTGCTTAATGGAGATGGTTTTTAACTTCCTTTTTCCTCATGTGGAATGATTGGGGTGCTGTTCCCCCTTCCTTTTGCTGTAGTTGCTTGAAGTAACCTATTGCTCAGGTTTCTGAGCATTTCTGTGCTCAGCACAGACGGTATTTGCTTTCTCTTCAGTCTTGGTTTGCTCCATTGTGGGTGGGATTTTAAAAAATATGGCAACCTGCCCTATGGAGCGTGTTTGTGAAAACAATTTTAGCTGCACCATCGGGTTTCATCTTAGAGACCTGGGGCTCTGCGAGGGGATGCTGAGGACGGGGATGGACAGAGGAACCGTAGCAACTAGGCATCCCCTGCCGTGCCGACGGGGCCTATTGCCCAGCCCTCCCTGGCCTTTCCTCTGAACAGAAGCCTGCCATTCTTTTGTTGTAGCTTAAAGTTTGGGGAATCTGGTTTTCTGTTTGCTTTTTGGTAGGAGCCAGAGGAGAATCAGAAGCTTTTTCATTAATTCATGGCTGCCCAGGTCTGGGCTAAAACCCTGTCCTGCTCAGTCTGTGGGTGTTCTCAGCGACACAGTGAGTGAGGCCAAGATTTCACCTCTGCTTCTCCCTGAAGCAGTCAGGAAGTGGTCTGCGTTTGTTAAATGCCGTTTCTGTGATATGCAAACAAAATCTGTGTGTTTGAGATTCCCAGTAGAGTGCAAAAGGTTTTTTGTTTCAAGACATTGCGTTTTATATTTCTAGGTACCCAGTTACGCTCGGATTCATTCTCTGGCGGCGTGGATCTTTATGGAGAACAAAGGCATTCGTACAGCAGATCCAGGTCAGACATGGAGTCTCCTAGATCTCCTGTAAACTTTCAACATAAGTATGTTTTGCTTTAGGTTATTATTTTCTGTCGGAACGCAGTTTAACTGAACGAATGCATCAGTGCTTACTGCCAAGGTTTGTAATCTTTGATGGCACAGATTTTTTTACTGTCTTTTTGCAAGGATACATAACAAAGGTCATCTCAGGCCTTTCAGCGCGCGTTTATCATCGCCTGGGTAAGGCCGAGGCTTGCAGATTTCTGCTGCCTGATTTATGTCTTATCCTCGGAAGTGGTGGTAGAGGACTGGATAGAGCTACGTTTCCCTCCTTCCCTAGAGCCCAGGCTTGGCAGCTGAGCAGCCCCCTGCTGCCTGCTCACCTTTCTGGGTGGCAGCAGCGGGAGGTGTGTGGGGCTGCCTTGGATCCCCCCCGACAAAGGAAGGAGAAAGCAGGGCCACTCGCTGCGGCTGGGAAGGGTCATCCGGTTACCGTGGGCTGGGGGGAATTACCCGCGGCCTCATGGAGCTGCTCGGTAGCTCTGCTGCTCATTCTTCGTTAAGCCCTTTTGGATGGCTGGGCTAAGCTGTGGTACCAGTGGTATCAGTGAATCGGGTGCCAGCAAAACCCAGTATTTTTCACCAAAGGCGAGGTTTTTAGGAGTGCCGTCAGCCTTATATCTGACTTCTCATGGAGCTGTGGGCTCTGAGCTTTACCAAATACCAGTTTCTTGACTGTTTGGATCTTTATTTTTATATAAACCACCTCAACATTTGCAATCTTCGTTTGTGGCAACCATAACAGCTTCCATGGAAAAAAACGTTTAATCTATTTTAGCCCCTTTAGACTTTTACGTCTCGAGAGTAACGAAGAGAGAGAGAATCCTGTGAGTACGGCTGTGTCCTTGTTCACACAAGCTGCTGCATAGAAAAGCAAACTTGAAGCTACCGCGGCTCCTGCTGCCGTCGCAGCAGGAAATGTGCTGGTCAGTCTTTGTGCCACAGAACTGCAGCAGTAAATCGGGTGCAGTGGAAAAAGGCAACTGGGAAAAGTGGTTTCTCCGGGGGTAGCAGCCTGATGGCTTGGGCAACAAAGAGCTGGGAGGTTGATTGGGCACGATGTGCTGGCCACCGCAAAGGCAGGTGAAGGGCCGCGTGGCCGGTCGGGCATCCCACCTCATGTTGTTTCACTGTGCCTGGTGCTGCTTTTGTTTTATTTCAAATGTTGCTTTTTTAAAAACCCCCGTGTTCTTCTGCCCCTAGGCTCCCAAGTATGCATGCCGAGCTAAACCCCGTCTCCTTCACCTGCTCTCAGCTGCAGAACTACGATCCTGAGCGAGCTTTGACGGATTACATCAATCGGCTGGAGGCGCTACAGCGGCGACTTGGCAGCGTGCAGTCAGGTGAGGACTCCTGGGTAGCACAGGGCACAGTTCCCAGTTAAAAAGCACGCGCTGGTTCTCTGAAATACGCAACAAACATCCCTATCTTAGGCATTTTCAGCCTTCAACAAGAGGCTATGCTGAAGCAAAAAAAAAATTGTATAATTCTTTGCAGGGAGACACATGCGTGTGCTTTAATTGCAGATTTTGAGTTCATTAGTGACAATTTGGTACCCAAAAGATTGGTGTGTGCGGGTATGAGGGGAATTTCTCCTCCTGCCACTTTGATTACAAAACTTACAGCCCTTGTGTCCCATGAATGATGTTAATTTTTGTGCTGTGGAAGGAGTAAATACATCAAGAAAATTGTCAGATCAGTGGAACTTATCAAACTTGATATGGGGATGATTTTTGCACTTACTGGGTTGAAGGCTTACTTCAGCATAAGCACCTCTGCTATGGGGACAGGCTGAGAGCTGGGCTTGTTCAGCCTGGAGAAGGATCCAGGGAGACCTTATAGCACCTTCCAGTACCTGAAGGGGCTACAAGGGAGCTGGGAGGGGACTTTTTACAAGGGCCTGTAGGGACAGGACAAGGGATAACGGGTTTAAATTGAAAGCAGGGAGGTTTAGATTAGATATCAGGAAGAAGTTCTTCATGGAGAGGGTGGTGAGGCACTGGAACAGGTTGCCCAGAGAAGCTGTGGATGCCCCATCCCTGGATATCTTCAAGGCCAGGCTGGATGAGGCTTTGAGCAACCTGGTCTAGTGGAAGGTGTCCCTGCCCATGGCAGGGGGGTTGGAACTAGATGGTCTTTAAGGTCCCTTCCAACCCAAACCAGTCTCTGATTCTGTGGTAAAATCCATTGGTTTTGTCCTTAAAGGATTTCCCACGTAAAAACCTTTCCCACTTGCTGAGCCGAGTTCTCATCTACTTAATCTAAGTAATCTTGATGAAAATCTTTCTCCATCCTACAGGTTCAACTTCATACACTCAGTTGCACCTGGGTATGAGAAGATAATGAAGCCCCTTCAGCATGTCCACGGCTGCAGTGACGGTAACGGATCGCATTCCGTAAGCCTGCGCTCTTCCTGTGCTTTGCCGTAACGTGCACGTTGTGGGACCAACGCGAAGACAGCCCTAGGGCTGTGTACGATTCCATCCTGGCACACCCACTGGGATTTATGTACATAGGCACTTTGTGTTCATGGAAAAAATACCCAAAAAACCCCACCGTTAAATTACATGTATATTTGTGGAATGCTAATTTAAATGATTAACTTATGAAGTGTGTATTTATCCAAAGGCTGCAAAGATGAACCTTGTGTATTAATGAAATTGAGCTACATTCAGCCACCTTTACTTGCACTTTTTCTGGCAAGGCTACTGAAGTTCTGCAACTTGGACTCTTTGCTCCTGGCAGCGCAGACAGAGTATCACTCGTAGAGACCTATTTTTGTAACAGTAGAAGTTTTGAATTTTATGGGTATTTTGTCAAAGTACTGAAATAAAGATGACTTCATGCTTTTCACTGTGTTCAAGACCTACTCCCTTATTCG